TGAAATCTCCAACGGTAACCAGAAGTACCTATTTCGTCTCTCAGCCCTGTCGGTTTGGGCTTTATGTATTTGAGCCTTTCAGTAGGTCCGTAAACACTGAGGATCGTTCTGTCCTGACGAAGCCGGCCCTTTGTCATTGTGAAGGGATGCTGTTTGTTCCTGACAAGGTTGGTGGCCCTAAGGTCCGCCGCGTCTGATTTTAATAGGCCACCTCGGCTTCCTTGTGAATGGTACATCTTCTTCCCTTTGTACTTTTCATCTATGTGTGTCCTTAGGGTGCGCGTTCCGTAGGCGGCGTGCAGCGTGGTCTTGCTTTTCCACCTGTTCTGAGAACGTTGCCTTTAGTCGGGGTGCTCAGGCATCTGCTCTCCACGTGGCCATGTTTCGAGGTGCAGACCGACCTCCTGTCCCTGCACTGGGCTCCCCTGCACAGCCCTCTCCCCTCCAGCCCTTGCCCCTCAGGTGCTGGCCGCCTCTGGCCCCCGGGCCTCTCGGCTTTCGGCTTCATCTTGTCCCAGGTCCCTCCAGGTCCCTCTCCTGGGCCCTCGGCCCAGAAACTTCTCAGAGGCCGTAAGCTGGGCCGCCGTGGGGCTCACGTGGTTTGTGTCTCATCTCTCAAAGATCACGGTCCTTTTCAGTGTCTTGAAACCCATCGTTTCATCCATTTTGATTGTTTTTGTTTTTGGGTGGGAAGGAAAATTCAGTCCTTGTTTCTCCAACTTGGTCAGAAGCAGAAGTTCATGTGGCCGTTTCGCCGTGGAGCCCCAGGCTAGTGCTCACGCCTGTCCCTCTGTGCCGCGGAGCTGGGCTCTGACAGGGCAGGTCCTCGTGGGTGCCGGCTTGGGGGCTGCTCCCCGCAGAAGCCTTCCTCGACCTGGACTTCACACTCCCTGCCCGGCAGGCGCACCCTCTGTGCCCTGCGCCCCAGAACTCAGCAGTCATTTTCTGAGTCCGTGCACGGGAAAAAAATGAACACGGCAGAGTCTGCTCTGTGGACGAGCTCACCGATCTCTTTCTCTTCGTCGAGTGAAGATGTTTCCAGCTCGAGGGAAGAGCCCACCGACGAGTAACTGGGGCGTGTTGTGGGGATGGGCAGCCAGAGACACACACAGTGTGTTCCGGGTCATTATAGACGCCCGTTTGCGCAGCTCCCTCCCTCCGTGTGTGAGCTCAGTGGGGCGTACATCACACAGTCTTCGCTTCTTAGGCGCCGGGTATGCGACAGGTGCATTCATCATCAGCAGGTGTCTGATTGAACCGGGCAGATTCATGAACGTCAGGGTTAGCATGCAGACTCTGGGGTCAGGCCCAGGTTTAAACCTTGGTTCTGTCACTTGACCTCTCTGGGTTTCAGCTGTGGACTTGCGAAGTTTGTGACACCTGAGGGGTGCCAGGTGGGGGCATCCTGAGGGGGGCCAGACATGCAGGCAGGCCTCACGGTGTGGTGGGAGGGGGCTGGCGAGGGAAGTCCTGAGCCATTAGCAGCTGGCTCTTGCTGTCATGGGACAGAGGAGGAAGCAAGCGTGGACAGAGGGGTTCACAGGTCGAGTCCCGGGGTGCACCCACATCTAGAGGTGGGGAGATGACAAGGAACCAGCGAGGGAGCCAGACGTGGCATCGAGAACGGGGTGTCGCAGGCCAGCGTGGGACTCGGAGGGAGAAGGAAGGGAGCGGTGGGTGCCCGAGATTAGCTACGCGCATCCTTTGCTCCACCGGGGTGCATGATGGGAGCTGCTGAGCCAGGGCTGGGGGCGTGTTGTGTGTCCCCCGACGGCCCGCGTGTTGGTGGCACGCAGCGTGGGAGGCTGTCCCCGCTCGATGAGGCGGAGCGGGCTGTGCCGGTCACCAGCCGTCTGGCGGTGCCCATCGCGGTCAGTGGGGCGTTGCAGAGGGCGCCTCAGCGTTGGCTGCATCGACCTGGATCTGCCAACGTCACCGTTTTACTTTTAATTAACTTAATTTTTTTTTGCCTCTGCATTGATTTTTTTTTTTTATCAGTTTTTGCCAAAAGACAATTTATGGAGTATCGAGCAGGACCGAAGACGGATGAAAACTCTTGCACTTGGGGAGACGATGACCTGCCCAACAAATGCCCCCTGGGGACAGGCACTTTGTACAAGGCCAGCTCTGAGTCAGATCTGACACAGCCGGCCTTGTGGTGGGGACAGGGACAGCAGACAGCCAGACGACAGTCCTTTGGGAACGAGGCCCCTCTGCCCCCTCTGTGGGCTCCCGGGCACTGCTGTTCACGAGGGTGCGAACTGTTCCATTTCAAGGCCCCCGCAGCACTGGGGAGAAGGCAGGGGACTAGACGGAGAGTCAGCCGGCATTTTTGTTTTCGTTTGTTCGTTTTTTCGATAAACATTTCCTGCTTGGCAGTAGCCATTCGGTTAATTTACAGAGCTCTGAAAAAGTTGATTCTGACCCTTTTTGCCAGTTTTCCCGTTGCTTTCATGGAGGAGAGTCTCCACTACCTTCACTGATGTCGCTTGACAAAGTTCTTTCTTTGTAAAGAACTATTTTTATATAAGTAAACGGTGTTTAAAATAAAGATGAAATACGGAACACCAGAATGAATAACTAGCATAATCGATGCCTGGCATTGGTTTATAGTAGAATTAGGCTGATTTATAGTACAATTATGCATCCTTCCTAAGTTCGACAGAGAACGCGTCTCTGCGTGTGTAGCACACTTCTCTGCTAGTTGCTTTTTTCAGCAGCGTAGCGTGACTGTCCCTTTGTCCCTCAGGAACACCTGCAGCGCTGTGCTCAGGCTTCCCAGGGCTCAGGTGGCGCCGAGGCACCGCGCCCTAACAGGTGTCCTCCTGTTGGGCCTTTACGTCGTTCCCGCTTTCACAGACGAGGCTGATGAACGCCCTTTGTGCGTGTTTTATGGGCCCCTCCCGTTTGTTTTGAGTCCCATCTCCTGGTCAAGGGATTTCTGGGACAGAATGATCAGAAGACAAGTGTATTTGGGGGCCTTCGGGGGTGGAGGCCTGCCTGCTCCCCGCGGTCCGGGCACAGAGGTCTCCTGGCTTCTGCGTCAGCTTCGCACGTGGCTCAGTGTTTGGCAGGGCACTTGGGAGCCGAAGCTCATCAAATTCATGGAAAGCTCTCGTTCTAAGCTGTCTGGGAATTTTCTGACTTTTAAGTAGCAAACCCTGATAACCTCCCGATGCCTTGGGAAAGACCTGAAGTCAGCTCGACGTGGCCCTACTGTGCGCCCCAGGGGTGCTCACAGAGGCTGGGGGAACGGCCGGGGAAGGGCTGCTCCTAGCCTAGCAATTTCTATGGCATGAATTCTCAGTCACATCTAGAACTCTCTGATGCAAGGATCTTTCAGTTAAGAACAACCGTAATTAAAGTTCGTAATGACAAGCCTGAGACATTTGCAATAGGCTTAGAGATTTTCTCTATCAGAAGCTAAAGAGCTTAAACCACGGTGTCGTTTTACGGTTGAGCATAACATAGTTCTCTGAAAATGGCGATCCATCCTCGCCACGTTTTACACCCTCGATGGTCACGGAGGATTTGTCCTGAGACCTTCGAGACACCTTAACTCACGAATGCCACCCTAGCTTTCAGTTGCCTCCAGAACATGCAGTGAAGACCCACCGAAAAATGCATGCCGTTCCTTCAGGCTGTTTTTGATTCTCTAAATACAAGATCCCTGCCCTTTACGAAGCTATTAGAACAAACTCAGGCCCTTGCTGAAATGGTTTGTGGTCATTATTTTTCTCTCTTCTCTCTAAAACCCGTAAGGAATGTGCGCAGAACGCCAAGTTGGCATTCGAAATTCACGCCTCAGCTCAGCCCAGTGTTTAGTGTCTTACTTTATCCTGAGCTCTGTTAAACTAGCATTTAGCAGACTTATTTCTTGCTTTGTATTTCCTTCTCCTGCCCTGGGGGTTGACTCTGTTTTGTGGAGCCATTTTTCCTGAGGGATAAAGTTTGCCTTCATCTGTGGCCGTGATGGCTGATGGTCTGGGCCCCGGGATTTAAATCTGTGTCCTTGTGCAACCGCAGAGCCGCACCCTGCAAACCTGCAGTCTGCACTATACCTGCAGCTACTTGCCAATTGTCAGTATCTGCCAGGGGCGGGTGGGGACTAGGTCACTGAGGCAGCTCGATTAACCGGGACCCCGGCATTTCGGAGCACCCCAGTGCACGACCCTCTGCCTGTGAATGCAGCCAGACCCCATTTCTGCTCCCTACGAGCTTGCCCGTGCCCTGATTTTGCTCTGCTGATCCTGGATGTGCGCAGAACGCCAAGTTCGTCCTCAGCCTCGTGGACCCTGAATCAGCCCCCACGCTACTGCCTCCCCCCCACCCCCAGGGTTATCAGCATTCACTGATAACCTACTCGGTCAGTGCTGTCCTAGGACCCCGGAGAGCAGACTGTCATTGACCTTAGTCTCGTGGAGGAGACAGAATAAACGAACGTACAAGAAGGAGATCGGATAAGGGGCGGTTACAAGGTGGAGAGATGGTGATTGGAGACCCTCTTGGAGGGGATGGTTCAGGACCAGCTCGGCCGTTCCAGGCCGAGCTGGCCAGTAAGCGGGGGACAGCCTGGGGCACAGACCAAGGTGGGATGTTCTAGGAACTGAAGGACGAGCCAATGGCCAGAGGTAGCGAGCCGTGGGGACGGCGGGCTGCGTGGTGGGGAGGGGGGGTGCTGCCATGGATAAAGAAACTTGGACACTTTTGGAAAGACGTGGGGGCTCTTGCGAATCACTCTGGGGCAGCAGGTGTCCACCAGGACTGTCCCCGGAGACCCGGGAGGAATGACCGTCCCCGCCCGGGGCGGGGGGCCCTACGCGTGGGGTTTAGGGAAGGAAGACGGCGGATCAGTGTCGCCCCACGTTGCCCACTGCGCCCCCCGGGGGCCACCACCCGCGCACAGCATCCCCCGTGGTCCCCGCCCCTTCCTCCGGCAGGTGGGTGGCTGTGGCACCAGCCGGCACCTCTCTGACCCCCGTTTCCTTCCCCGGCCTCAGGAACGCTGCCGCGGAAATGCAAGAAGGAGCTGCTGGCGGTGAAGCTGCGGAACCGGCCGAGCAAGCAGGAGCTGGAGGACCGCAACATCTTCCCCAGGAGGACGGATGAGGAGCGGCAGGAGATCCGGCAGCAGATCGAGATGAAGCTCTCCAAGTAAGCGGCCGCGTGGGGAGGCCGCGGAGGCCACGCGTGCCTGCCCCGCGGGGGAGCGGGGGACCGTGTGAGCTCGCCTCTCCCCGCCACGCCACCCCGGGCCCCCGACGGGCGCCCACAGCAGGGGTTCCCTGTCGCCGCTATCCGCACTTGGGACCAGAAGGTTTGGGGGAGTCCTGCACTCCGTTCGATGCTTATTTGGCAGCATCCTGGGTCTCTACATGGTACAGCCCCCGGTGACAACCTGAATTGTCCCAGACCTTGCCACATGACCCCTGGGGGTTCGTGCCCAGTGGAGAGTCACTGGGTATAGGAGTGGGGAGGAGACAGAGATGGCGGGATGCGCCTCGCGGGGCGGGCGGGGGAGGGGAAATGTCCCACTCATTTCCACCTGGTCATCCTCCCGCGAGACCGTGCGTGGAGCATCGCCGACCTGCTGAGAGTTTCGAGAAAAGCTGGGATTCTGTGTGTTCTGGGGGAAACTGCACCCAGTCAAGCCGTCTGCCCCCTGGCTGCGGCCCAGAGCCCCCAGGGGTGCCCTCAGGGGTCACAGGTCTGCGGCTAGAGACACACTGTGGCAGGGACAGGGGACAGCGTGTGCGTGTTAGCAGCCGGGGCCTGTTGGAATCCGGTCATGCTCCCTGATGCCGGACGCCAGATGGGGCGGGGGGGGGGCGCAGGGGTGTGGTGTCGAGCTCTGGGGACCAGGTCGCTCCCAGAGAAGCAGAGCAGCTTCGTCCAGCTCGCTCACGTGCCCTGGCTGTTTGGGCTGCCGAGGCCTGGGAGCCGGGTTCTCGCAGGTCCCTCCCGGGTCGGCCCCGAGTTTCTCAGTGAGGCCGCGCTCGGCGGCGTGGATTGTGGTCAAGGTGCCTGGTGCTGACCCGTGGCTCCCGGACCCGGGACGGGACCCCCAGGGAGAAGCTTTCTAAATGTCTCGGGAGGATGTTTTAACGAAATCCCCGGTACCGATGGGGTGACAGGACTGCCCCCCACGGGGCCTCATTCACCTGATGGGAGCGAAGTCATCGGACCCATCGCGACTTTGTCACTGTGTGTCCGATCAGCAGCAGAGGCCGATTTTACTCCTATGCGGAGCAGGTGCGTTGCTGGCGACACAGCCGTGCGGGGTGCAGGAGACCCTCCCGTTCGCTCGCGTGCCACTGTGGGGAGGCGCTGCCTCGGGCCTTCCCGCGTCCCGATGCCGGCCCCGGGCCGTACGACAAGATGCTCGGTGACCACCGTGGGGCGGACGGAGTGGGGGCGGGAGGTGTGGCCGTGTCGCTCCCCGAGGGTGGGGGCTGGTGGTCACAGGGGAAGGCGGAGGCCTGAGCACGGGCCTCACTCAGGGCAGCAGGAAGGGCCCCCCAGGCGCAGTCTCGCCCAGGACCCCCATATGGAGCATCTGGACGAGCATTTCCTAAAGTGGCGACAGGTTTTCTGTAAACAAGCTGTCCCCGGCTGATGGTCACAAAAGGGAAAACGTGTCACCAGTGGTTTACTTGCCACAGGACTTGTCAGAGCCTTTCACGTGACGAGGCTCGTCGTCTTCTGCGAGAGGGGACGGAGTCCTTCGCCGGGCGTGCTCCTCTGAGACCCCCGCGTGCTTCGGCAGCCTGTTGGGGCCCCGACCACCCATCCGAGGCTCGGCTCTTCCGCTTCCTCCAAGTTTTCGCTTTCACAGCGCTCACACCCCTCCTCGTGCTCGGTCCGTTCGCGGGGGGGCCTCCAGCCGCCGCACCCCGCAGGAGGCCGCGGCATCCCACGTGCGGGACTGGTTTGCCTTTCTGCCCATGCGCCGCGACGGCTCCAGCCGTCCGGCCCACGGGCGCGCGGCGATCGCGTGAGGGTGGCTCCTCCTTTCTCCTGTTTCTAGGGAGACCGGACGTGTTTTTCCGTGTTTATCCGCATTGAGGATTCTTTCCGCGCGCCTTACCTGCCGTTCTCTGCATCTGAACGGTTTGAGGCGTTTCCTTTGGAAATTCTGGCTTTTAACCTTTTCCCGGTTTTGTGCGTCGCTCAGCCCTCCTCCCTGTGTAGAGTCGTATTTTCATTCGGTTCACACTTTTCTTCGAGGTGCAGACGTTTTTCGTGTGTCAGGTGGTCATGGCCTGTCACAGGTGTCGACAGGCTGTCTGCGAAGGGCCAGATCGTGAACGTTTCCAGCCTGTAAACCCACGTCTCGTTGTAGCACAAACCCAGCCATAGCCAGTGTGAAATGAATGGGAGGTACCTAATTTACAAATAAAACTTTATTTATAAACGCAGACGGCAGCCCGCGGGGCAAGGCGGGGGTGCCGGAAGCCACACCCGACGGCCTCCGTCACCTGCGGACTCTGTGACTCATTTTAACCCTTGGACTGGAATGGAGTGGTGAGCAGGTCCTCGGACATTCGTCACTGTGCTTAAAAGCGGAAAGGTGACCACAGAATTAGTCACAGAGCCGCCGTGGGGAGGTCGCGTCCCGCAGGCCAGACGCCGTCTTCCTGGCCAGTCCGCCCCGTGTACCCGCCAGGAACCGCTGAATGGGACCCCTCGGTCTTCGTTTTGCCTCCTTCCAGAGATGCTTCTGCCATCACGTGTGGAATGGTTCAGCCTCTGGTTGCCGTGGCAACGTGCCAGCTACGTTATCCCGAAGGCAGTTGGAGCTTTTGTCGTGCGATTTCCAGACCCTTAAAATTCGATCTTTCGGGTACTCCTGGGTTTTTTTCTAGATGGAGCTGTCACTGTCCACACCATCCCCCCCACCCCCATAACACACCCTGGGTGCTGGTCCAGGGGCCGGAGCGGAGGCAGGGCCTCCTTCGGCCCTCATAACGAGTCTCACCCCTTCCCGTCCGGGAGCCCAGCTTACCTTGAGCCCAGGTGTCACGGAAGTGCAGCGTCAAGGAGCCGCGCCCCGTGGCAGCTGCCGTCCAGTCACGTGCACGGCCACTGTGTGAGGGGAGCTGGCCGTGACGGTGCCTGCAGCTTTCAGTTTTTAGTGCCGACCCTATGAGGTCAGTTTCGCTCATTTTCCCTCATTAATCTCGTCCTTTTGAGAACCCGATAAACCATCTCCATTTTACAGATGAGAAAACGAAGCCTCAGGGAGGGACTTGCCCGGCATCCCACAGCAGGAGGAGGTGGGGCATGAACCAGGGGGACCCCCCGGGTCACCGTGCACGGGCCTCAGGTGCAGCCTTCTAGAGGGGCCGGCGCTGCCCAGCCCCGTGTGTTTATCTCAGTCACAGCTTCGCGTCTGCTCATGGCGGCCTGCCTTCCGCCAACACGCTGGGCCTCATGAAGCAAAGCGCTTCATGCCTGTGTTAGGGTGGGGGTGGCGGGAGGTGATGGAAATGTCCCCCGACATGGGACAGTGGGGAGTAGGCGGGACTGTCCAGGGAGAGATGCGGTCGAGCTCGGGCTCCAGGACCCGTGGGCAGGCGGAGTCCGTCCCGCCCTCCTGTCACCGCTGTGTGGGTTTGGGGTGACACCGCCACCTCTGAATCTCCCTCCTGGTTTGTCACATGCGGACAGCAGAGGCACCTTCCTCCCAGGAGCCCCTGGACGCCTCTGGTCAGTCCCTGGGAAAACACACACGCGCGTGTTCCCGGCAGGAGGCGGGCTGGAGCTGCTGCTGTTGCGGTTCCGGCCAGACACACTCCTGGGCCAGTCGTCACCTGTGCAGGGGGAGGAGGCCACCAGTAGGCCTCGGCGAGGATGACGTGAGTTCTGCCGTGTTCGAACAGCTCCTGGGGCGCCGAGGAAGCCAGCAGGCTGGAGGTCGCGTTCCCATGGTGGCTCTCATTCCGAGTGTCATGTGATTTGCCTGGAGACGGGGGCCAGCAGGCCATGTCAGCGATGCCGGAGCCTGCGGTCACCTCTCCCCAGGGGGCTCGTCTGCTCTGGGACTGGCCGCGGGGCGGGGGGCTGATTGAAGCCCAGTGGCGTCCTTCAGGAGTGGGTACTTAGCATTCAACGCGGGCATCAAATGGTCCTCGAGCTTGTCCCTTCGTACATCTTGTTCTGCTGCATCCGGTACCGGCTGCCACCACCCAGGCCCCCACGAAAACACAAGTTCCCTGGGGAAAAAAGTGTCATG